CAAGGTAATGGTATTTCAGAGCCATACCCAAACAAATAACAAACCAGTAAAGCCTCAGAAAAGGGAGCCTGAAATGATGTTTGTGGTGTTTATGCTTCATGAATGGTTGAACAAACATGAGAAAACCTTAGACAAATTCAACAAGTCCTCTATGGATCAGCAATAATCAACTGTCTGAGTTAACTAAGACAACGTCCACCATAAATGGTTACAAGCTCACAGGTTTGACTGAAACGTATTCAACAAATAATAACTATATAATACAAGAGAAAATGTTGGGAATAATCTTAGTCATAACTGTGATAACTGACAATTTACAATCTGGAGAGGTGTACAATGTTGAAGATATAGGGGTAATTAGGAGAGGATATAGTGAGGCATCATGGCATCCTTCCTTATGCAATAAAAATATGACAGAAGATATTATGTACCACCCTAGAGGGGTGCAGCACAGGAAAATCAACTATCTTGAGCTGCCATCAAATTTGCAAGACAGAGAAAACTTTAACAATAACTACTAACTCTACCATGGGAGCCAATGTCAGCTGATATACAGCCTACTCAAGTGACCTATATGAAGAAAGACTACTATTGTGTCACCATGGGCCAGACTTTGTTCCAGCATGGGAACAAGTGATACCCCCTGGAAAACAAAACTGTGTGTTTTACACCACAGCTACCATCAAGGGTAGGAAGGATGGAAATTGTAGACATCCACCAAGGGAAGGCGGTCAATCTAGATGTTATAAAAAGCTTCAAGGATGAATTGGATAATATTCAAACAGTTCTCCTGTTCCATTCTCCTGCTACCTGAACATTTGACCATAATTAAGACAGAATAAGAAAGGGTACACAAAATATACCATATCCTAGAAAAGAAATCCAAAAGCATCAAAAGAAAAATTCAATAAATTGATGATACCACATGGTACGATGACCTTGCAAAGTGGGGCGGTTGAATGTATAAATACATTCCTGGTTACGGACAATATCACATGCAACTGTGGATTGTGTGCTACCTGACAGGAATGACTTGCTACTTCAAGAAGACAACAGAAAGACAGCAGAAAGAAACATACATCAACATCCAGAATAAGGTGAAGGGAAGATCCAACTGCACCTTACTTATGCCGTACTGTAATGATACAGATAGCCATTGTGTTTAGGATTCTCTCTATTATTCCAGATGACTGGCCATCTGTAGGAAGGAGAGAATTCTCAGCAACACTTAATTAGTTGGCTGTCTTCAGCAGGGCCAAAGGCCAAAAGGAAAGACTGAAATGGGAAAAATCAGTTTAATAAAGTTTAGAATAGTCTTAGAAGCAAGTAGTAGCTTAGGGAAAATAACAAATATAATTAATCCAGTATATTAAGATTGTTAAAATATACTTGTAGAACAACAGGGCACAAATAGAGGAGACAGTGTTAAAACAAATAATCATGTTGCAGAGTTACTAAAGAATCACACAGGACAGTGAAATGGTAACACTCCCAGGCGACGAATGCTATGCCCAGATCAAATGACTTCCTTCCTGTGAAGAATAAGCAGATAATATGTTCCAGTAAGTAATGACTGAGTGTCCCATCAAAACAAGATTAAACACATAGCAGTTGACCATCTGTGTACCTTCCTCTCCTTGTGCATGTGCCCTGGTGTTTATTTACTATTCAAATGTCAAAGATGGAATTTGACCATGATTGGATAAATAGAATTGTGTCTTATTGGTGATTGGTATATTCAAATAATGTAATGCTCACATAAAAACAGTACAAAAATCAAAGTTTGGTTAGAGATCTTAGAGATTCATTTTTCTCAGGGGAAAAGTGGGTCTTCCTTGCATATGCACGAATAAACACCAGAGAAGCTTCCAAGTGTCTCCATCTGGTTTTGTGGGTTGAGATAAGCGAAAGAAACCTGCCCTTTCATTAGGCTGCGACTCAGAACTGACACAGCTCTGTGAAGATAATGGTTTGGCAAGCATTATTCTCATAAATTAATGCTTCCTCATTGCATAGTAAAAGAAACATGAGGTCAGATCCAAAGTGCAGTTGGGAGACGTAAGGAGCTTGAGCATGGGAACTTGGAAAAGGGACACACAGTTGTGCATCAGAGAAGAAAAATAATTTGAGCATCTTCCAACAAATCTGAACCAAGACATTCTGAGTAACAGTGATTTGTTAATATAACTAAGCTTGCTCCAGAAGCAAGAGATGATTTCAACAGACGAAAAGACAAATTCAAATGTATCCTCTTCATGCCAATAAAAAGGAACATAATTTAAACTCTTCTTCACTGACCTCCAATTTTGGTATGACTAGAATAGGAATTGTCAGACAGAGCCCAATGCCAAAATCTGTGAATGACCATCAGAACCAACCAGATCTGAAAGCACAAGTATCCTTTCTGCTCCTTGTGTAAATGATTCACAAATTAAATACCGGGGATTTGATCCTTCTTCCAAGCAGAATCTGCCAGTAAATTATCTAGAAGATGCAGTTGTGATGACCTTTCAGAATGAAAAATATTCAGACAACGGGCACTGTATTGAAGAAATCATTAGGGTACTTTATGGAAGTTAGAACATCACAGTGATTCTGGCATTTCTGCATCTTCAGTCAGAATTATGTTTGGAAATGAACAGAATAGATTGTGATTTTTCTTCATCATTAGATGCTTTGAAGAATTCTAAGAAAGCAAAAAGTAAAAGAAGGCAAGCCTTTCCTCCCTGTATCCTTTGTCCAAGCCCAGATTATCTGCTACAATTAAATCAAAGCTGGGTGGTCAGAATGTAACCTTAACTGTGATTCAGGTCAAAAGGAGGAAATCATTTGAATAGAATGTGCAGATTCTGGTTTACAATATCTGACAGAGAGTTCTGAGGCTGAATGTGAAAAGATCCCTGATTGTTATCATATCAACAATGGATAGGAAATGGAGACCATCTCTGGTACCAGTATTGAGGAATGGAGTGCAGTTCCTCCTGGTTGTGGCAGAGAAATTTATGAGTTGCTTGTAAGATTCCGATGGCAGCATGCCTCAGAATGGAGAAAAATCATGCAAAAATAATGAAACATTCTTTTTGGCCTGGATTACATAGGATGTGGCTAAATTTTGTCAGACAGGTCATACATGTCAAATTGAGAAACTCCAACCATCAGTTAAACCAGGCCTTTGATTCACATAGCAGCTTTTGATCAACCATTTAGAGGATCTTATGAGCTTGTGTGGGATGCCTAACCAAATCCAAAGAAGGCATCAATTTTTTTAGCCATCATGGATGTATCTATGCAGTTCCCTGATGAAAATATTACAGTAAATATTGAAGAATTAGTTCAATTCTTCCTGAGGCATGGATTACTCAATGAAGTAAAAAGGTCAAACCTTGTGTCCCAGATATTTAAAGAAACAATGGTAGCCTAGGAACAAAATAGCTTAAGGGCCACATTTTCACCATGATGGAGAGCCTCTCTGTCATGGAGAAAATGACAGAGAAGTCTGAAAATTGGAAGCCCTGTCATGTACATTTAGTTTCCTGTTTTCAAAGGGGTGAGTTTAAAGATGGCCCAGCTTTCATGCTTGCATGGTTCACAGAGATAGATGGCAATTTAAATGATCTGCTGCCTTCATTCAAATTCTATTTTAATATTTGTGCTGTCTGAGATCTGGAATGTGCAATCAGACCAGATCAGATCTCTCTCTAGTGAGTTTACTTTGGATAGCCAAGGTAATTCTCTGGAGAAGTGATATCCCACGTGGATATGGTCCCAGAATACCGTGGGTGGGGGTCGAAGGGGATTAGGTATTCATTGGCATTGCAAACAAAAGGCAGTAATCTGCCTAAAACGTGCATAATCCATAGGAATGATCAAACGTCTCTCATCCAGCTTCTCAACCAGGGTAGGATCACAACATTTAAAGCCTTTTATATAAGGCATAAATTTGGACATATTCATCAGGCAATAGATGCTCAGCCTGCCTTCAATAGACGAAAATGGTAGAACAATTATAACATTACCTACTGCATTATCAACAAAATGGAGTCTTAGAATGAGCTGATAGGAGTATTAGTAAGTGCTTGTTGGAGAAGACATGACCAGAGGTTGTGAATAACTTTAGAAGATTTCTATCCATATCAACAGAAATCTCACACATCATTAAACTGGCTTATAAAGTTGGAGAAGGATTTTCCGAGATGGCGTTGGAAGAGGTTGTGGAGTTATTTGAAAGAAAAGGAGAAGAGCGAACAACGGAATATTTGGAAAGATTGGTACGAAGTGAGTCTGTGGAATCAGCTGAAGATGACAAAGAAGCAGAAATCTTGGTCTGGATGCTCAAGAAAGTGACAAAAGTCAAAACAGCATCAAAAGTATTGACAGATTTATTGCTTAAGTACAATCCATCTATCAAGCATAGCATTTGAATCAAAAGTGATATAGAAAATGCTTTGCTCAAATGCAGAATTTTAGAGGAATTAAAGAAAAAGGCATCCCAACTTCCCATAACAATGTCCTTTACAAAAAACCAAGCCAACTGCAAATCCACAAGTAGAATCAGAAAAATGCCTCTTTCCTGCCACCATCTTGCTCCTAGATTTTCCCTCCCTTCCAGACTCTATCTGCTAGATCTACAGCTGTTGGATGTCATTTTTAACAATGCACTTATCACCATCAGATTCATCTGTCTCACTGTAATCGACACATTACAATCATCATCAGTGCACCATGCTTTACAATACTACATAACTGCTTTTCATCTCATCTTCTAGTTTATTCTATCTATTTATGTGCATTTTTATAAATATTTATCTTTTGCATTATTTTATTAACTGATATATTTTCTTTTGAGGTGTTTAAGTGTTTTAATGTGTTTATTAGTGGGTGCTAATGTTTTCAAACTTTAATGACCATATTTATGTTTATTTGGGTCATATTTACGTAAAGGAAGGCCTCAGTGGTATCTGCACTTTTTGTTATCCACTGACATTCCATTTCATTCACAGGTATTGGGAACTGAGTACAGTAGAAAGTCTCCAATGATAGAAAGAGGAAAAAAGCAGCTCATTGAATCCTGTAGTCCAGACTGGTGGAACTGAACTGCGTCTCCATAAATTTTCTTCTTGTTCTTCTACCCTTCATATTAATGTCTTGTCTGTGTGCATCTCTCTGTTTATTTGTGAAGGGGGACTTTAAGAAGCGATAAAGCCTTAGTTGTTGGGTTATAAGTTAGCTATTTGTATTTCTGAAATGCCATTAGCTAAAGACAATTCAGTTGTAATAAAACAGCTTTTTGTCAATTACAGAAACTGGTGAGTGTTATTTTTTAACTTAAGTTCATCAGTCAGGAAAATTGGGGACTTTGGTCAATTTAACTAAGCTTTTCACATTTGTGATGAGTGGGGCTCAATTTCTAGTACACCACCCCACTGAATCACGAAAAAGTTCATGTATAAACTTCTCTGCGGCTTCTCCTCTCCCTAACTCTTGACAATTCAAGTCCCATCTCCCTCCAAGATCTCTGTAACCTTGCAAATCCCTTCATCTGATCATTGACACTGATGTCATTTGGGCTCCATGTTTTACAATTCCCTCCTTAAACCTCTCTGAATCTTTCTCTCTCCACCCCACCCCAGTATGTCCCTCCTCAAATCCCACTTCTTTGACAATATTTTTTAGACATCTCCTACAAATATTTCCTAATTTATCTTGGTGTTAATTTTTGTCTGGTTGCATCACGCTGAAACATTTTTGGATGTTTTAATGTGTTAAATAAATATAAATTAGAACTCTTGTCCCAATTCTCAAGTTACTGACCTGGACATTGTCTGGTCCCTAGCGCTCTCTGTTTGAGTGGAGACCCAGGGCAAAAATGCTAAGAGACAATAGGGACTTGTCATGGCTGAGACACATCCAGCCTTCCGGGTGAGGTGACTGATGAGGAACAGGACTCCTGGCTGATTCTCCCCCTCCATTGATCAGAGGTGCTCTGGTTAATTGGAATACATCCAATAATACCACAGGAATTACATCTTCCCTGGGTGCTTTTCTAACTGAATCCTTTCTAACCAGTGAGTACCTGACTGTATTACTGGCCATAGCAAGAATCAGTGACTGACTTGTAGTTGATGCTGCACTGAAAGAATGTTGAGTTTATACAGGGACATCTATACACATTGATGTCTTCCAGTAGTTAGATTTGATGATCTGGTCAAATGTTAAATTGACCTTCTTGAAATGTTTGGACAGATTTGAGACAAATACTGCTGATCAGACAGTGCTTTAGAACAACAGCTGCTCTAAATGAGCCCTGGACAGTAAACAACATGGACACCACTCAGTACAATGGAAACAAGTGTGGAGATTTTGGTGAATGGTAAAAGAGGAGTCGATCAAACATTCTTGGTATATCTCACACCGAAAAGGTTCTTCTAATGTGTAGATTCACTGATGATCCTGGAAGTCTGACAACTGAGAGATATTTTCATTACAAAACTCATACCAGTGTTGATGGTCTAAGAGATACATTGACTACTGTCACATCCTTCATACCTGAATGGCTTCTTATCTGTGTGGATCCACTGGTGCTTCAGGCTATAAGAGAAATGGATGAAAGTCTGGCCACAAACATCACACCTGAATAGTTTCTCCTGTGCATAAATCCTCTGGTGTCTCATCAGGTTAAAGACATCAGGAAACCTTCCAGCACAAACCTTGTAATTGAAGGGCTACCTGAATATGCTGGACCACAAAGGTTTTGCTGAGGAGGTGAATGCTTGATCAGACACTTCACACTTGAAGGGTTTTCCCGTATGGATCCTCTGGCACCTTTGATAACCAAAGTAATGGTTGCGAGCCTTATCACAAATCTAACACCTGAAAGTTTCTTCACATGGATCCTCTGATGATCAAAGCAGCTTAATAATTGTGTGAAACTGTCATATACCTCACACGTGAATGGTTTCTCCTCTGTGTGAATGCGTTGATGTAAATGGGGGTTTGCTAACTGGCAGAATTTATTTGCCACACATCTTGCACAAATCTGGTTTCTCCTCTTTGTGACTACAAAATAGAGTTTCCATGGAGAATGATGTGTCACACACTTCAGAAGTCAATAGCTTCTTGACTGTGTGAATATGTTGATGTTTGCGAAGGGACAAGTTCAATAATGATTTGCTGCACATCTCACATGTGCATAGTTTTTCTGTATTTTCATATTTTTCCATGTTGGTGCATGAGAAATTGCACTGAAGTCAAGAATGATTTGTTGTATAACATAGGAGTATTTTCTCCTCAGTGTGAATGCACTGGTGGACATGGACATTCAATGGCTGTGAGAACGATCTGTTACACACCTCACAAGTGAGTGGTTTCTCCTTTGTTTAAAGGCATTGATGTACAAGGAGAGGCGTTAACTATGAGAAAGACTTGTCGCAAACGTTACACTTGAATGGATTTTTCGTCACGTGAACATGTTGATGTTTACAGTGGGCTGGTAAATGCAAAAATGGTTTATCACAATCTCATATGGGAATGGTTTCTCCTCTGTGTGCGTGTACTGATGTATGCAGAAAGTTGATGAGTTTCTCGCCAGAGTGAACCCTCTTGCACTTCAAGAAATCAGCGCTTTGGAAGAAAGCCACCTCACACCTGAAGGGTTTCACCCGTGTGAAACTTCTGATCTCTCAAGAAGCTTGAAGGTATGAAAAAGACATTATCATATACCTCACACTTGAAGAGTTTTGCTTCCATGTAGCCATCTGTGTTGACGGTGCATTATGAGATGCACCTTGCGAATTAGGAAATCTTAGCCGGCAGTGTGGCTTCCTCACACTTGAGCAGTCTCTCACCTGTAGGAATGAGTTAGTTCAGGAGAATCAACGAACAATTGGAGCTCTCGCCACACTTGGTGCTCACATGCATTTCCCAGCCTCACTGATTGCCCATAGCCGAACCTTTGGAATGGTTGATTCTCGTGGAAAGATCCATATCAATGACAGTTTAAAATCTGATGATATGTTAACACTCCCCTGACCTGACTAAATTTCCAGATGATACTTTCACTGTCTAATCCGCTCTATGCTGACCAGTATGGTGAGAGATTGGATAGCTTCTCATAACTGTGTTGTTGATTCTTGGGTTATGGTCAGGATCTACCTGTGGCACCTATCCTCTCTGTCATCTCAGGTACAGGTGTTTCTGTAAAACAGGAAAAGGAAACATTACTTTCTCCTACTTCACCTCCTTTCCTGGCAGCTTCCTCAGTTAAAGACTAATCCACAATGAGAGCCAGTCCACTATTTCACTGTGTGAGATATTATTTGAAAGCTCTTTCTTTCTCTCACATGGCTGTTACAGTCCACAGTTTCCAGCAGGAGCAATGGAAAATGACCAGTTGGAAAGTGGCTTCTTTCTTTCCAAAGCCCAGCATTCCCATCTTCCCAGGTACCATGAGGATAATGCAAAGGCACTTGGGTGGAGTCTAAATTCAGTTGTGAATTAATTATGAGCCCAAGTCATACTGATGAAAACCAATTTTATCCTTAAAGTTGTGTTCATAAATAAAGGAACACTCTTAAGAAATGCTAATTCAATTAAAATTTTTAAATTCCTCCCCTTTGTTTCTAAAGTTATTTGAAGAAACTCACTGGACACAAAGTGCCAGAAGCTAAGGAAAGTATTGCTTCAGTGTGGCTGACTGAAGGGTTCTTGTTTATCCTGGGAACTTGGATACATTGCACTTGCTCAGTCTGCACATCTCAAATTCAACTATCAGCCACAGCCCTGGGCAAAACTATCAAATCCAAACTCAGGCTTTTCGGAAAGGCTGAAGTCTACAGGTAGGAAAGGTGTTAAAAGACAGTTCAGTAAATGTTTCAACAGGTATGGCTGCTGAATTGCCATTGATATGCAGGCAGTAATCCAGAAACCATTGGACCCAACAATCCAGAAACCATTGGACCGAATTTTCATGCTTCAGGATTTGGGTTTGAGTCAGGCCTGCTACCCTAAGTAGTAGCTTGGAGAAAGCCACCAGGCAGCCGAGTGCTGCGGCTGGCATGGATTAATGATTGGTGAACCAACAGAAAGAGATAATAGGAATAAAAGGATCCTTCTCATATTGACAGGCTGTGACTAGCGGGGTAGACAAACACAGAGAAACTCAGCAGGTCTGTCAGCATCTGGACAGCATTGTTGAACTAGAAAGGGTTCGGCAAAGATTTATGAGAATGTTGCCATGGTTGGAAGGTTTCAGCTACATGGAGAGGCTGAATAGGCTGGGGCTATTTTCCCTGGAGCATCAGAGGCTGAGGGGTGACTTTAAAAAATCATGAGGGGCAAGGATAGGGTAAATAGGCAAGGACTTTAACCTGGGGTGGGGGAGACTAAAACTAGAGGGCATAAGTTTAAGCGAGAGGGGACAGATATAAAAGGGACCTAACAGACAACTTTTTCACACAGAGGGTGATGTGTGTATGGAATGAGCTGCCAGAGGTAGTGGAGGAGGCTGGGACAATTACAACAATTAAAAGGCATCTGGATGGGTATATGAATATGAAGGATTTAGGGGCCAAATGCTAGCAAATGGGAGTAGATTTATTTAGGATATCTGGTCATATCTGGAGCAAAGGATTTATTTCCGTGCTGTACAACTACATGACTTTATAAAGCAGAGTTAACATTTCGGATCCAGTGACCCTTATTTTGAGGTTTACTCTATGAGTCAAAGGCTGACTCTGTGATTAAGCAACTGGTTGTTCACTCCACACCAGGCCTCTCTAACTGATGTGATATACCTTACCTGACCCATCACTCACACCCTCCGTCTTCACCTGATGCTGTGTTTCTTTGTTCGATTTGGAAGGCAACACATGTCTAAAGAGCTTTGGAGAGGAGAGGTTTGCGAATGGACTTTAGTTTGCGAAGATTAAAGGGTGCAAGGGCTTTTTTGGGAGAAGGTGAAAGCAGCATATTTAGAGCAGTGAGGGGCAATACCTGAAGAGAAAAAAAAATTGTTAACAATATCACCAACATGCATTCACCTAGGTCACTCACATACCTGGATCAAAATTCACCTCCCTCAAATATTCCTGTATTACCCACCTTAATGACATCAGATACAGTGTTCAGGAGAATGAGGAAATACCGTCCTTCAGGAACAGCGCATCCAGTGGTGAGAGGGTGCACTGCAGCCCCGTGAGTTTTATAAGATGGAGTGCGTCCTCCAGACACAGCGCATCCTGTGGTGGGAGGGTGCACTGCAGCTCTGCCTGTTCTCAGATGATGGGAGCGATAAGTTTCGGAATGAGAGAGGGTGGGTAAGAGGTGAGGGGGGGATGTGTGAGAGACGGGGCGGGGGGATGTGTGAGAGATGGGGGGATGTGTGGGGGGGGGGGGAGGGGGGGGGGAAGGGGGGGGGAGGGGGTGGGAATGTGTGCGGGAGAGAGAAAGGGGGAGTGTGTGTGTGTAAGAGAGAGAGCGAAAGAGAGAGAGAGGGGAATGTGAGCGAGAGAGAGTGAGAGAGGGGATTGTGAGAGAGAGAATATGAGAGAGAGCAAGAGAGGAAATGTGAGGGGCAGAAAGAAGGAATGGAGGGAGAGAAAGAGGGAATGAGAAAGAGAGAGAGGGAATTTGATTTGGTTTATTTATTGTCAAGTGTATTTTGTAACAAATACAGTGAAAAGTGTTTTATCGTCTCGCCACACTCCAGCGCCATCTTAAAACATAGAAAATAAATCAAAATATCGAATATAAAGGCAGAAAATAAAAAAGTAAAGTTCAACTTTATATTCCTTCTTGTTAAGTGCTCAATCATTGGCCTGGATCTGGAGTCCTCAGGGGGCAGGAAGCAGTTGGTCAGCCTTGAGTCCCTCAAGAATAGCCACTGCTTGGCACAATCTCACCTCCAACAATGCCACCGCCACCAGCAGTCCTCCCTGGGCCAATATCGCACCACCAATGCTGCCAGGTCCCACAGTGCACCCAAACCCAACTCCGCTGCTGCTGACATCAGTCTCCACTAAGAAAGTGAGGGTGTAGAGGGACGGAGAGAGAGTGAGAATGGAGGGAGGGAGAAAGAGGGAATGGAGGGAGAGAAAGGGGAGGGAGAGAAAGGGGAGGGAGGGAGAGAAAGGGGAGGGAGGGAGAGTGGAAATGGAGGGAGGGAGAGTGGAAATGGAGGGAGGGAGGAAGAGTGGGAAGAAATGGAGGGAGGGAAACAGAGGAAGTAGAGGGAGGGAGCGAGGGGGAGAGAAGGGATGGAAGGAGTTGGAGAGGGGGGATGGAGGGAGGAATGGTGGGAGGGAGGGAGAGAGAGGGAGAAAAGGAGAGAGGGAGAGAAAGATGGAATGGAGGGAGTGAGAGAACGGAGGGAGAGAGGGAATGGATAGGGTTGAACATGGGAATGTGAGGGAGTGAGAGAGGGAATGGAGGGGAGAGAGAGAGGGAATGTGAGGGGTGGGAAGGAGAGAGTGGAAATGGAGGGAGAGAGATGAAATGGAGGGAGAGAGGGAATATGAGGGAGAAGAGAGGGAATGAAAGGGAGAGTTGGAATATGAGGGAAGAGAGGGAATGTGAGGGAGACGAAATGGGAATGGAGGCGAGAGGGTGTGGAAATGTGAGGGGAAAGAGGGAGTCGGATGGGGAACAGAGAGACAGGGAGAATGTGACGGGGAACTTGAGTTCTGAAGAGGTTGTATTAGATTTGAAACGTTAACTTTGTCTCCCCCCACCCCATGAATGCTGCCAGACTCTGCTGAGTTTCTGCAGCATTTTCTGTGTTTGCCCCCTTCTCCTGTGACAATCCCTCTTGTGCATACGCTGCTTCCCCCATTTGACATCATCGCTACTCAGGGTCTTCTGTCAAACACATTTCAGGCTGGAGATTCCACACTTCTGATATAATTGTGCAAGTTACCGAGGATGCCACAATCTCTGTCCAATATTTCCCAGGGGAACCGAGACAGCAGCTGCAATAAGTGAGGTTTTATTTACTTGGGACAATGATAAGTTTAAATGCCCACTGAATCTGCTGCTCCAATTCACCTCCGTATCACCGGTCAGTTTCTCAAGCTTCAAGAAACACCCTTTGCTCCAGAAATATTTGGATTGGCCGTGAGAGACATCAATCAGAGAGTCCACCCACTCTGCCCATTCACTCCTCTTCCTCTTCCAGAGTTTCTTCACTTCCTGCAGGGACTGAAAACCAAGTGAGGAGGTGGTGAGTGAAAAAAGAGCTCTCATACAAATTGTATCCCATAATATCCACACGAATGTTCAGGCGGTCTGACTATCCTGTGGGCGATCAGGGATGGAAATGTCTCTTATTGCTGCGTGAGAAGCCGAGAGAGCTGTTTACTCGGTGCTTTATGCAGAACTGGAGCTGTGTTTTTGATTTTGAGTGTGTTTATTGAAAGCATTTTCCTTCTGATTTACAGGCTAGGTTTTGTTGTTGAGTCATTGCTGAATATAAGAAGCTGAGGTGCAATTATCTGGGAGGTGCAAAGTGATCTCGTATTCTGACTGATTTCCTTGAGTTCTTGGTATGTTGCTGAGCGCTGGTTATTCTGTGGACTGTGAATAGTGAGTTCTCAGTGTGTGCTGTGATTTAGATGTTGCCTTTCTTTGCAAATCCCTCAAGGCCTTCCACCACTCCATCTCTGTATCCACTTCAGAAAGGGGTAAAAAATGGCTGGCATTTATGCCGAACCTTTCACAACTACTAGCTGTCCCAAAGAGATTAACAGGTAATTTCCACACTCCATTTGAAGTGTGGTCCCTGTGGTAATACAGGAAAAATGGCATCTAGTGTGCACACAGCAATAATGACCAGACAATCTGGTTTGTAATAATGTTGATTGGAATATTGTTATGATCCCTAGAGAACCATAACCTTTAAACAAGATTTGAAATCCTAATGACCAATTTAAAGCAATGTATGAGAATATTTCACTTTTATTAAAGATACTTTGATCCTAACAAACTTAACTTAAAAACTTGACTAAACCACACTAATCAACAACTACTGAACTAATTGGTTGAAAAGATTTTGCCCCTTTAACTTTTAACATGATTGAACACTCCACGCCCAGCTATCTGCAGGATCACATTTTGAGCAAGAATAGTTCGAAGCCACTAGCAGCTTTCAATGGGTTCACTTCACCCGTTTTGCTGAGTTGAATTCTGAGCATCAAAAACGATTTCTCTGAGTTCCAGAGAAGTTCTGCACCAACTGCTATCACTGAAGCTCTTTCTGACAATTGCTCCCCCAGCCTTGCCAGGATGAATCTTTCTCAGTCTTTAGATTGCCATAGGATGACTCACTGACAACCAGAGACTGTATTCCCTCCTGCATTCTGCCTGGCAGCTCTTTAAAAGAAACCTTTGTAATGTTTCTGTCTCTGTTTTACTCTCTCTCTCTCTCTCTGATGATCCACTTGATATTTTAGCCTGTGTCCTGCACACAAGTGCTGGGCTTCAGTATGGTTGAGACTGGAGATGTTCATGGAACTGTTTTCAGTTCCCTGACTGAAAGTCTACAATTGTCAACATGACATTGGTAGAAGTACAGAACTTAGCTCAGATCACCGAGCAGTTTAGATTTGTTTATTGCCTGTCACTCTACTGGAGTCTAAAGTATACAAAATGCTGCTCTTGGCTTTGCCATTTGCTAGCTGCTAATATTTCACTGCACCTCACAGATACCAGACTGTTGAGATCTGTCCTTAGTTTACTTCTCCAGTTAGGATTAACATGGTGAACTACTCACTCATCAGCTGGACGGAAGTTTTTCTTGAACTTGTTTGACCGCAAGGTATGAGGTTCCATGGGGTCAATATTGAAGACTTCGCCACCTGCCAGTGGGTTGGGAGAGTGGGCTGTTGGGCAGAGAAAATAAAGTAACTATGTTGTCTGCACCTGGTCATTATGGAGTGGCCGTGCTGTAAACAGCGTGTGTGTGACAGTCGAGTAAGGAAAAGGAAAATCTCATTCCTCTGGGCAATTGCAGACTGGCAGTCAGTCTTAGAATCATACACGTCAGCAAAGGAGGAGGAGGGATTTAGAGGAATTCATGTTGACCTTTCCTGTTTTACAGAAGGACTGCTTCGTACCACACCAGTGAACACAGGGAGGACAGAAACCACAGATAGATCCTGAACATCACTGAAGGAACAACTGCCCAACTGTGAGAAGGCAGCCAGTCCCTTCACAGCATTACTCAGCCCAGAGAACTTTTCCAAAGGTTCAACTGTTGGCAACTGATGAGGGTGAGGTTTGGAAGATGTCTGCCACTGTTGCAAGCGTGGGGACAGCTTCATTCATTCATTGAGCTTTATGAACTGACTCAGGCCGACAGGTGAGAGGCTGTTTAAGCGCGAGGAGGGCTCAACAGGCTCCGAAGATTTCCTAACACGCAAGGTGCGTCTGTTGTGTGACTGTGAACACAAGGACGGCTACATGGAAGAGAAGCCTTTCAAGTGTGAACTGTGCGACAAATCATTCTCGTGCTCATCTCACTTCCTGATCCACCAACGCACTCACACAGGGGAGAAGCCATTCACATGTGAGGTGTGCGACAAATCATTCTCTCAGTCATCACATCTCCACAGGCATCGACGCATTCACACGGGTGAGAAGCTGTTCAGCTGTGAGATCTGTGACAAAGCCTTCACCCAGTTGTCCAATCTCCTGGTCCATCGGACAATCCACACAGGGGAGAAGCCCTTCAAATGTGAGGTTTGTGATAAAGCTTTCCCAACATCTACGAGGCTCCTGATACACCAGAGCATTCACACAGGAGAGAGTCCCTTCAGGTGTGAGTTGTGCGACCAAGCTTTTACACAGTCATCAGCGCTCGTGCAACACCGACGCGTTCACACTGGGGAGAAACCATTCAAGTGTGAGGTGTGTGGCAAGTCGTTCTCACGCTCATCTCATTTTCGCGCACACGAGCGCATTCACACCGGGGAGAAACCATTCAAGTGTGAGGTGTGCAACAAATCATTCTCACGCTCATCAACGCTCCGTGAACACCAACGCCTTCACACTGGGGAGAAGCCATTCAAGTGTGAGGTGTGTAATAAGTGCTTCGCACAGTTATCAGGCCTGGTGAGTCACCGGCGCATTCACACAGGGGAGAAGAAAATATTCACATGTGAGGTCTGTAATAAAGATTTTGAGCAGTTATGGACAATGTTGGATCATCGTCGTACTCATACAGTGGGTAGCCAAGCCAAGTCTGCGACTGAGTCTTCCCACAGTCAGTAACGCTCATAAAGGAAGAGATGTTTAAATGTGAAATGTTTCATCAAAAGTTTCCCAGGCTATTGTGATTCAGTTGTGAGCTGTATGATCCTTTGTCCAGTCACTGAGTGATATTTGTGAAACATAAACACATTCAGACCATTGGGAACTGTTTACGTGTGAGACATTTGGCGAGAGCCTGTTGTATCACCAGCATGTCCACAGTAGAGAGAAACTATTCACCTGTGAAATGTAGGTCAGAAGGTTCACTTGCCAAAGTTCCTGGTCCATCAGAGGATCCATGCAAAAGAGGGAGATTTACAATAGAATTCTGCTGAAGTCTTCAAATCTTCAGGAACACCTGCTGGTTGCCACTGAAAGCTTTCTCGCCTGTGTCAATGTTTGTGAGACAGTTTGCACCCAACCCCCTGTTCTTCTGAAGCACCCTACGATGCTTACTGGTGGGAAACCATCTAAGCAGCGCATCTCCTCATCCATTCGAACACTCTGTCTGGGAGGAAGCTTTTGTGCGTGATTTCTGCAATGAGGCATTCACACTTCTGGAACATCAGCAAATCCACAGGGAGACAAACCCATCCACAGTGTGATATGTACCAGAATTGTTTCACCTACTCTTCCTTCTTTTTGGGCACACGCTGACAACTTGATGCAGACTTGGAGCCAAGCCACCTGCTTCCACTGATCTGAGAATTGTCCGTGTTGTTTACCCTCCAGAGCTTACACAGGAGAACTGATATTACAAAGCAATGTTTGTCCCAGCAATGTGTTCCTCAAAACTCTCCGAACATCAGTCCGATTGTGTCAGAATGCCTATTTAAGTTTTAACCAGATTGGTATACGCGACCAAAAGCAGGTATCAATACACAAATAAGCTCCTACATAAAGTCAGCATCTTTTCAGTGTAAAATCAGGACCGAGTCACTCACTGAGTCTCAACCCAGCCAAGAAGGCAGTCAGATGCTCAGTTATTAGAAAAATTTCAGCTTCTGATCTACCAGAACAAGCACCTGGGATGAGCACGTTTCAGTGGGAGTAATTGGGTACATGAATAGGAAGGATTTGGAGGGATATGGGCCAAATGCTGGCAAACGGGACTCAAATGAATTAGAATATCTGGTTGGCATGGATGAGTTGCACCAAAGGGTCTTTTTCCGAGCTGTGCATCCTTATGTATCTAATTCATTTAACTTTAGCATCTCTGGTCTATGCGGTGGAGAATCAACCAGGAATCCTGTTCCTCATCAGCCAGCCCAACTGGGAATTCAGGGAAGGGGCAGTTCATGTCTCGCACTGTTCACTTTCTGGGTCTGCACGTGCTGAATGGCCCCTCGAACGAATCAATGTCTACAGTCTGTACTGTAGCTGAGAATTGGAGCGAATCAGCTTGCGGTTGTAGAGCATGTTAGTATAGTTAATCCTCCTAAAATATTCCACTGAGACACAATCAAGCAAAGTAACACCGAGACTTAGAAGGGGAGGTCAAGGAGAGAGAAAGATTCAGAGAAGATTAAGGACAGAATTGTAAAACATAGAGCTTGGCTTTTAGTGCTTGGGAGTGGATGTGTCAGAATGTACCAATGGCCAAAATTGAAGGCTGATCCATATCTTAACTCGAAATAGGTACTTTGGCTTCTTTAAGTCTTTATTCCTTCGGTTAATAATAAACCTATCAATTGACTCCCAGTTTCCACAATGTTTGTGGGGAAAGCGTTTCCAGATTTCCAGTACCCTTTTGGTGAAAAAATGTTTACTGACATTACCCTTGAACAACCTTGCTGTAATTTTAATGTATTTCCCTCTCATTCTGGACTCTCTCAGCCAAGGAATGTTTTATCTCCAACTCCTCTATCAACTTATTTCATCATTTAAACATCTCAATTAGATTACCCCTTATTTTTCTAATTTAAAAGGATTACAAACTCAGTCTGTCACCCTGATCTCATCATTTAACCCTTTTAACATGATGGACATTCTGGGGAATCTATAACGCATTCCCTCCAAGGTCATTATCCTCCTCACTGAGGTGCAGTGCCTGCAACTGAGCACAGCTCTCTGGATAAGGTCCAAAACGAACTCTGTACAGCTGAACAAAACCTCCGCAAGGACACTGTTGTATTTGGTGAAAGGAAGTTGCGGGTTACCTTTTATCTTTAGGATGGTTGAGGAGTAATGATCAGTTTTGGCAGAGGAAACAGGACCAGGAGTGATTGATGTGATCATGTCAGATCTGGTGATGTTTGGAAAGACCAGTTGTGCACCAGATACACTCAGAACTTAACCTCCAGGACTTAAGAAGCAACGAGACTCACCAGGGTAAAGGAAGTAAAGGTAATCTTTGGAATAAGGCATTGGGGATGAATATAAGGAAGCAGTTAAACCAGATTCCTGGCTCCAGAATTACTGTGCTGAATGGAGGATTGAAGGGCAGAGAGTTAGGAATTAGAACGCGCTGTCCAACTCAAATCAGGTAAAAATGTTTTTGCGGAAATGGACACTGATTTGTTGACTCATGTGGCTGCTAGCTCTCTGTAACCAAATGTAACCACATTTATATTAAACAAACAAGCTTGTGCCAGTAAAGTTCAGTGTAACTTTCACCATCAGACTAAAGGTCTGCTAGACTAAAGGTCTAGTGTGACAAAGGTTTTAAAGACTATAGTACTCTGAGAGTTTAATATGATATGTGTGAATGAGAAAGGTGGACCATCTTTCAGACAGGTTAGAATCAGATCCTACTTTATTGGTATTTCAGTTTATTCATCGATGGATGTGAAATGTCACTGGTTCAGCCAGCTTTTTTTAAAATCAAGGCTGGTACTTATTACTGTCCCTAATTGCCCCGGAGATGGTGGTGGTGCTGAGCTGTTGTTTTGAACTGCTCCAGTCCTTCTGATACAAGGATAGTCAAAGTGTTTTAGGAAGAGAATTACAGGATTTTGACCCAGCGACAGTGAAGGAGCAACAGTCTAGTTCTACATCAGGATTGTATATGTCTTGGAAGGGAACTTGCAAGCTGGTGGTGTTTCCATGCATCTTTTGCCCCAATCCTTCTCAGAGGTAGAAGTCACATGTTCGGAAGGTGTTATCACAGGACCCTTGGTGAATTTCTGCGCTGCATCTTGTAGATGGTACACACTGCTGCTGCTGAGCGTCTGTGGTTTTGGGAGTGAATGTCACAGCTCGTGGATGGTGTGCCAATCAAGCAGGTTGTTCTGTCCTGTATGGACCTAGTACAGCTAGTTCCATAGCTCAGGTCTTCGGGACATTTGCTGGAATGTTGACAGAGCCCACAGCCTTCGCATTATCCAGCTTTTAACTTTATCTTGATATCACATGAAGTGAATCGAATTGGTGGAAGACTGGCATCTGTAATGCTGCAGCCCTCAAGAGTGTATTATCCATTTGCCATTTCTGGCTGAGGATGGATACAAAGGTTTCAGCCTTGCCTTATCACTGATGTACTGGGCCTCTCCATTATTCATGGTAGGGAGCACGCATCGCCAGCGAGTTGCTTAATTGTCCCCCTCCATTACGACTCAATGTGGTAGAACTGCAGAGCTTAGATCTGATATGATGGTTGTGGGATTGCTTAGCTACATCTGTTGCTTGTTTTCTCTTTTGTTTACCATTGCAAGAAATAGTGTACTGTAGCTTCATTAGGGTGACACTTCATTTTTAGGCACGCCTGATGTAGTTTGAGGCTTGCCCTCCTGCACACTTCATTGAACCAGGGTTCATCTCCTGATTATAATAATAGAGTGTAGAATATGCCAGGCTGTGAGAGTACTGATTGTTCTTGAATACAGTTCTGTTGCTGTTGGCCCACTACACTTCACGGACGCACAGTTTTTGAATTGCTTGTTCTGGTTCAAGTCTGTCACGTTCAGCACGGTGATACTGCCATTCAGTGTAATGAAGGGTATCCTCAGTGTGTAGGAAGGACTTCATCTCAAATATGGCTGTTACTCATACCAATATTGTCACGGACAAAAGTGCCTGCTAGTCCGATTGGTGACAACAATACTAAGTTGATATTTCCCTTTTGTTGGTTCCCTCACTATTTGATACAGATCCCAATGAGCAGCTACGTCCCTTTAGGACTTGGCCAGCTTGATCAGTGCTGCCAAGCCACTCTTGATGATGGCTGTTGAAGTCCCCCAGCCTTGGGTGCATGCTTTGTCCTTGGTGGATTGATTAGTCAGGCCCAGGAGCACAGTAAGTGGTAATCAGCGGGTGGATTTCTTGCCCATGTCTGACCTGAAGCCATGAGCTTTCATAGGGTTTGGAGTTAATGCTGAAGACTCCCAGCACAATTCCCTAACAACTGTATTCCACTTTTCCACCACTGCCTGGTGGGTCAGCCTTTCCAGTAGATAGGATACTCCCAGGGATGGTGATGGTGGTGTCTGGGACATTGTAAGGTGCAATTCCATGAGTACGACTGTGCCCGGGTTTTATTTGACTAGTTTTTGAGACAGTTCTCTCAACTTTGGCACGAGCTCCCAGGTGTGAGGAGAAGGAAGACTTGGCTGAGACAGGGCTGAGTTTTCTGTTGTCATTTTCAGTGCCTTGCTCAGTCAAGTTTCGTTTCTGTATTTAGAGTTCTCTGGGGTCAATACAACTGAGTGACTTCTTATACTATAGAAGATAATAGAATCACTACAGTGTGGAAACAGGCCCTTTGGCCCAACACATCCACACCGACCCTCAGAGTATCCCACCCACACCCATTCCCCTACAACCTACCTAATCTACACATCCCTGAACACTACAGGCAATTGAGCATGGCCAATCCACCTAGCCTGCACGTCTTTGAATTGTGGGAGAAAACCCACGCAGACAGAGGGAGAATGTGCAGACTCCACACAGACAGTCGCCTGAGGGTGGAATCGAACCCAGGTCCCTGGCCCTGTGAGACAGCAGTGCTAACCATGTGCCACTGTGCCACCCCAAGGAATCACATGTAGGCCAGACTAAGTCAGGATGGCAAATTTCCTTCCCTAAAGGATATTAGCAAACCAGATGATTTTTATGACAATCAACAAGTTAGTTTTTAATTAGGAATTTATCGAATTAAAATTTCACCATCTATCATGATGGAATTTAAACCTATGTCTCAAAAACCATGAGCTGGGGCTCCGAATTACTAGTGCAATGACATTACTGCTGCACCATCCTAGAGATTATGGACATATCCTCTGGACTGCTGTTCAGTCATTAACAAGTCCAGGCAGCAAGAATTGGAGGGGGCTGTTGTGCCTAACTACCAGCTTCTCTGTTGTGGTTATGTGCATGCCCTGGAGAGCAGATGGTGTCCACTGGTATGTTTCAGGCCTTCCATCAATAGTGGAAGCTATGGGCTAAGTTACGTCTACTATACCCTGATTTCACCCAGGGTTTAAATGTTTACGTTTCTTTTAGAATGTTGATTTTTTTTAAGTGTCCCTCAGGGGCTGCCTGCCTTCCTCATTGTTTTAAAGTTTACTTATTCAAAGTAATAGATCTTGTTCTGGTGATGGGCATTTGACTGATACCATACATAATGCTTGTATTCTCCTGAGTATGGTGAGGGAGTAGGGGTGAGGCTGTATCGATTCCCTGAGCTTATCATAACTCAATATTAAAATGGTGTGACTCTTCCAAAATTAATTTCATGTTTCGGTAAGAGCTTGAGTCTTGTTCAACTGCTTGTGTTATTTTAGTTGATTCAAAGTTTGGTCTATTTTAAATATTGTGACATTGTTTGTTGCTTTATCAATCTTCTATATAGGTTTATATCTCAATAAATTCAGTTTTTTTTCTCTTGATCTAACCTATGTGATTTGTCAGCATGGTGTGTTCCTTTTCAGTGAAACTCCTAGGACCCTACAGTAAGAGTCTTGTACACAGTGTATTGATCAGTGACAGTGTGGGGCTGGAATATGTCTCCATCGATGGGTTTGTAATTTCCAGCGCACAGGAAATATTAAATTTCCAAAGTAAAGATTTGCATTTATTGGTCAACTCTTGTATGCACAAGGCATCCAAAGGCAGTTTATAGCCCTTCCACACCTTAATTTACACATATTTTTCATCACTGGTTCTCTTTCACAAAGCAATTAGCACTCTTCTGCACTGGGCCTCCACACCATCTGCTCCTCTTGACCTTCCTCGGTCTCACATTTTCCAACCCTTTTCCATTCTGAAGAAGAAGCTTGTTAACGCAGTTTCTCTCCCCACAGATACTGCCAGACCTGCTGAATTTATCTAGTGTCTTCTGTGTTTCTGAAGCTGTTTTTGATCCAAGCAGCAAGTGTCAAAACTTGATCATGTGTTTATGGAGACCAGCTTAATCACTGTTAAGGATGGTCTCTACTTCGAGACGTCTGCACTGCAGGATAGGACCATAAGATGTAAGAACAGAAGTAGACCATTCAGCCCATTGAATTCAACCATTCAAGTGTGATCCTGGCTGATCAGAATTCTCAATTTCACTTTCCTGTCATTTACCCTTAATTCTTGATTCACTTACTGATTAAAAGTCTGTTTATTTCAGCATTGAATAGACGTAATGACCCAGCCTTGAAAGCCTTTCTGTCGTAAAGGATTCCATCGATCCATTACTGTCTGAGAGAAGACATTCCTTCTCACTTCTGACTGAGGTGGTATCACCTTACTCTGAGGCCCTCTGGTCCAACCACTAACAATTTCTGCACACTATCTTGTCCAGTCCCCTATGAGCCTTGTATGTTTCAAAGAGGTGTCTTTTTATCTTTTCATTGTTCAAAACTCCAATTAATGCAAGCCCAAACTACTCAACCTCTCCTGATAAGAAAATCTCTCCATACTAAGCATCAACTGAGTGAACGTTCTCTGGACTGCATCCAATTTTGTGATTGATACACAAGGGCCCAAATTCCCCTGTGCTGCAGACTTCTAAAGCCTTACTAAGGGGTGGAACGGTGGTTCAGTGGTTAGCACTGCTGCCTCACAGTGCCGTGCACCAGGGTTCGGTTCCAGCCTTGGGGTACTGTGTGTGGAGTTTGCACATTCTCCCTGAGTCAGTGTGAGTTTCCGCCCACTGTCCAAGGATGTGCAGCTGAGGTGTGAGCAGACTGGTTACCAGAGTGGTTGATGATAGTATAAGGTAGCGGTGGAGGTGAGATAGACCTTCAGTTTCGGGTAAAAGTTCGGCACAACGTCGTGGGCCTGTACTGTGCTGTACTGTTCTATGTTCTATGGTGACTCCAGATCCAATTCCAGTACCTCAGGTCGCACTCCTTGGGCAATACCTTCACGTACCTCATGTCCGTGGACCTTGGCATCTGACACCCACTAAAAGTCTGGTCAAGGAGATAGGTTTTAAGGAGCCTCTCATAGGAGGAGATCATCAACCTTCTTCTCCTCCTCCTACTTCCCCACTCCTCCCTCCCTCTCATTCCAGTTCCTCCCTTTCCCTTTCCCCATTGAGCCTCGATCACCGTCCAGATGTCCCCTACCATGGCAGACTGCAATCCCACAGCCAGCGGGATAACAAAGGAGAACTGCTGAGCCCAGCAGCAGGGAACCACAACAAATACAGGAACCCCACTGTGTTACCCTCCAGTCCAAATGGAAGGAGGGACTGGGTAATAGGTCTATATTCATGGGGAGGTGGGGGGAGGGGGAAATGATTTATTGGATGTATGCATACAGGTTACATTGCAGAGGGTGTGCCCGAGGCGAGAACAACATTAACAAGATCAGCGAACCAGGTATAAAAGTTCTGACCCTGGGAAGAGCGAACCCATGTTGAAGTTTTGTTCAGTTTTTGCTGTGCTGTCTCTTTTTTTCCTGATCCAATCCTGTACATTCCTTGACATGCAGGATTCCCTGGATTTGTTGGTCCTGCCCTTCACCTTTTTCAGGAACATGTTGACCTTGCTCTCATTGTTTTGTTATTGAATGACTTCCACTGCTCTGATGTAGCATTTCCTGCAAGTAGCTGGTCCCATTCCATTATTGGCCAGATCCTGTCTTATCATTAAAGTCAGCTTTCCCCCAGTTCAAAGCATTTATCTCTCTTCTTATTTCCATGACTCACTTAAATCTCATTGACCTTCCCATATTGACATTTCTACCATTTCCCTCAACTTAGATCCAACTCTCTTATAGAATTTTCCACAATCTAGCCTGACAAATCTTTCCTGCGTATGTTTTAACAATTCTGTTCTCTCTAAGATTTTCACACTTTGTCTATCCCAGTTAATATTGGGTAAGTTGAAATCCACTTATATTATTATCCTATTATTTTTACACTTCTTTGAAATTTACCAATATATCTGCCGTTCTGTCTTTCCCTGACTGTTTGTGGGGTCTATAGTACACCCCCAGCAAAGTGTGGCCACATCTTTTATGTTGTTAAATTCCATTCTTATGACTTCATTTTAGAAACTTTCTGAGACATCATCCCTACATGCTACAGTAATTGACTTCATGTTCCATATTGCGACACCAGCTCCTCTTTTCCAGCACCTTTTCCCCCCTTCAGTCTTCCCCGAAGATCTTGTACCCTGGAATATCGAGCTGTCAGTTCTGTGGGAATCAAGTGAAAATGGAAATTAGACGGTGCAATATCACCACCACGTGGTTACAAATGGTATTGCCGGAATAAAATTGGAGTTTTTTTCCCCACAAATGGTGCAGCAGCACCACCCAATGGCTTTTACTGGAACTGCGACAACATATTTCCCTCTTCCAGTAATCAGCGCAGAAACAGACCCTTCGGTCGAACTCGTCCATGCCGATCAGATATCCTATATAAACCTAGTCCTATTTGCCAGCATTTGGTCCATATCCCTCGAAACCCTTCCTATTCATATACCCATCCAGATGCCCTTTAAATGTTGTAATTGTACCAGCCTCCACCACTTCCCCTGGCAGCTCATTTCCATACACACACCACCCTCTGTTCGCTGTTTGTTTATTTTTTTAGACGAATCCTGATGCCCAGAGCTATTTGAAATCTAACAGCAGAGGCAGTAGCTATGTCAGACAGCAGTGCAGGTTTGTTTCTCGTTGATTCACATCCCATGAAGTCACTGCCTTTGTCTCCCTTCGTCCTTTTTAAAAGTTAGGTCGTTTTGAACCTTTCCCCTCAGAGTTCCAAAACAATGCAGCAACTTATAAAACAGCAATCACTGCTCCTAGAATTCGAGAAAATCAGCACCAACAGTGAAAATACCTCAAAAAAGGAGCAGCTCATACAGCCATAATTTTTTCCCCATCCTCCATCTTGTATTACACGGAATCCTCTCCAATCAAATTAAAAATTAAAACACGAAGTGGTGGGCATTCTCAATAAACCTGGCAGAATTTCTGAAGAGAGAAACATAATTGATGTTTCAAATGTAGTTTTATTTTTCTTCAGAACTGATTTGCAGAATTTGCAGTGTTTTACTCCACAAGTGAAATTCTGCGAGGTTGAAGAAATGTGGTTTACCAGAAGCAACAGTTTCACTTGTCTCTGACTCCAGCATCGGTAGTTCTTACTATCTCTAAACCTAAATTTACAAGTTGTCTACGGATTCATCTTGACCGAGAAATTTGCGAGAATCTCTTGTTTTTTTAAACAGATCATTCGGACACTCCAGTTCGTTCTACCATTCAATGTAACCACTTAAACTTCATTTACAACAAAAAAAAGAAATTGCTGGAGAAACTCAGCCGGTCTAGCAGTATTTGTAAAGTGAAAACAGAGGTACGGTTTTAAGTCCAGTGAGCCTCATTCAGATCACTTCAGATACTATCTCAGGCAATATCATGGCCTTATTCACTATTTAGCTTATTATAGTCCTCCAAAGTTATTGTGTTAATCGTTATTAAAATACACGAATAAGAATATTTTAACACAAGTAACTTATTTTGCATGGAGCAGGACTGCCACCTCCTGGTTGAAATCGGAACTCCATAGATTTATTTCCCCCTGCAACGCTGATTCCGATCACTTGGTGGCGCTAGAGAGCAGTATGTCATTAGAGATAGTAGGAACTGCAGATGCTGGAGAATCTGAGATAACAAGGTGTAGAGCTGGATGAACGCAGCAGGCCAAGCAGCATCAGAGGACCCTTCTTCTGAAGGGTCTAGGCCCGAAACGTCAGCCTTCCTGCTCCTCTGATGCTGCTTGGCCTGCTGTGTTCATCCAGCTCTACACCTTGTTATCAGCAGTCTGTCCATTGCCTCGTTGACATTTTCATTGCTTTACTAACTTAAAGTAACAATTGCAGGGCGCATTGCAGTTTATACCATACGCTAAAGGAACAAGAATTAGACCAATCAACCCGTTGTGTCAGTGAAAGGCACCATTAGTGTATGGAAATATTTTTGCGTTGAAAAGCTCTTCGCGATGCTGGAAATACAAAATTAAACAAAACGCAAGAAAATCTGAGCAGAAGAATAACTTTCTTCCACAAGGAAAAAAAAATCCGAAAGAATAGCGGATGCTGGAAATTGGAAACAAAAACAGAAATTATTGGAAAAACTCAGCAAGTCTGGCAGCAATCTGTGAGAGTTAACGTTTCGGATCCAATGACCGTTCAGAATTATGGAACTAAAGTTATATGGCCGCAGTCCTGTTTCTGGCCAGCGGATGGCAGTGTTGTAACATGTAAAGGACTCGTCTGTAGGAAAATTATTGCTTGCAGTACCGCTCAACGCCAGCCTGTGGTAGTATTGCACCATTTATTCACCAACAGCGATTAAAAGTGAAGAAGGAAAAACTGTCGGGAAATTACAGGTTAAGATTTGATCTGAATGCTCATTTTTGGTTCTTTAAAATGTCCAGCCTTGGGGAAGAATA